CATCCTTGGGCAGTGGTTCCTTTAACATTTTGCTTGCCTTGTTGGAGCTTGCAGGGATGCTGAGCAGTAAGAGCCTGCAAGATGCATTCCACCTGTATGATGGGTGGTGGCTGTACAGAGAGAATTTGCCTTTTCTAGTATCACCATGTACTGGTATCAGCTGTGCATTAAATACTGTTTTAATTGCAGACCGGGTGGCCTGACTTGCACAGCCACAGTGGCGCAACAGCATCAGTGTTGGCAGCAACTGTGGGATTGTTCCCTCTCCCTCCCTCCCCTGCACTCTCTTTTTTCCCCCCCTTGAACAAGCTGTTATTAGCCCCAGAGCCCCTGCCAGAATCCAGACCTCACTTTTGTAAAGGAGGTGAAGAGAATGGTAATTTCTTGCATATGTAAAGCTGCTGACAGCAGGTAGGGTTGTTCCTTACAGCACTGCCAAGAGGTCAGGGTGCATAAAAACTGATTTTAAAAAACAATTGTAAAACCCACCAGACTCAAACTCTACAAAATAGTTTTGCTTTCATTTATCTTGAAACATGTTAGTTCCTCACTTCCCACTTTATAAGTGTAGACTGCCAAAGCTGTTGTACTAGGAAACTAGCTAACTTAGTAGCATGTATATTTTATGCAGCGATTTCCCCACCCCCAGAAGCATGCATTCAGATTCTTGTTGCTTCTGCATAAGTCATGCTTAGGGCCTTGTTGTTATTGCTAAAAGAATAACACAAATAGGAACTATAAAACTGACAAGTAAATAACTTACTGTATATTTATAAAGGAATATCACCTTGCAACATATGCCTGGACCAGGCCATATGCATCCATTAAGGCTTACATGTGAGAAATGGTGGCACTTGTGTTTTTGAATCATTCTAGGTATCTCAGGATGGATTTTTAGAAGTACATACAAGTGGATTTAGGAGCCTTGTTTTTTGAACTGTTGTCTACAATATGAAAGTTCACAATAACTGTGTGAGGTGTATTGAAAGTATAACTTACTGTTTTTTGTCTATGAAGCAATTGTGTTTTGTAATGATCATGACATGGAAGAAGTTTCTAATAAGTACAGTTTTAGTCCCTGACCTGCAAAACTTCTGCATGTGCTTAGGTGTAAAAATGTTTTAGTAATCTTGAGGAAGTCAGCTGCACTATTCACAATGGTGAATTCTCCTCCTGCTTTCCTGCTTTAAGATTTTGCAGGATTAGGGCCTTAATTTTCTTTTTTGCATATAGTACTTTCATAAATATAAGTAAGAGACCCTACCAGCAGTGGCGTATTACAGTAAAATTTGTCATCGATATCCTTACCCTCAAGCTTCTGTATATTGATTTTTTCTAATACTTTTGATGTAAAGTTTCGGTACCACAGATTTTTCAAGGTTAAAGCTTACAAAGCCTCCACCTGATCTGAAGCAACCACCCATTTTAAGTCGGTGATTTAAATTGCCGCTTTTTGCTAGCAGCTCAGTGAGACTGATACAACATATTGGGGAGGGCTGCCTCCAGTGAGCCAGCAGGGTGGCCGTGTGCCACAGGAATGGCGGAAGTGGGCTTTGTGCTCAGTCTTCTTGCTGGCAGCTTCATGGGCTCCAGTTTCAAAAGTTCACAGAAATTTACAGGAAGCTGGGACAAAGTAATTCATAAAAACGGGTACAAAACCTACTTCTGTCAACCTGTCTTGATGTGCCCTGAAAAACAAGCGCATTCCTGGCAGTAAGTGATGCATGGTCATTCTAATTGTAGATCCAGAGGACAGATTAAATATAAGTTGGCTGTTTGGCAAAACAATCTAATAAGCTTTCAGGGATTTATTGCTAAGTGCCATGTCAAACTGATCATTAGAGATATTTTCAGCAAAACCCTTTTAGTGTTTAATTTGCTTATAGGTCTTAACTGGAATAAACCAAAATATGTAATGCACAGCTTTGAGCCATTGATTTCATGTGCTGGAGAAGGACAGCAATCTATGAAATGGGACCCAACTAAAAGTCTGTTTATGAAGGGTGATTTTATTATAACACATGCACACACTCTCTTCTTGTGCGTTCTATTAAATTTGGCTGGACCTTGAGAGGTGTTTTAATTTGCATGGAGGCAAGCACAGGTTTTTATTGGTGTCTAGTGGGGCTATATTAAAGAAACAGAAGTCTTGGTTGAAGGTCTGGGTGTAAGGAGCTGAGAGAGAGACTTTTTAACTTTTTAAACCCTTATTATACAAATATTTAAAAACAAATGGAGAATGTGCAGAGGTATGTGGCCTTCCCAGGAGCTGAGCATGAAACACTTGTTAGCAACAAAAAGCATGTCACCGGAGATTGCAATCCTCTCCCTCACGTCTCTTATGCACCAGATATCCATCTTCCACTTTGTGGAGGCCCCCCTCAGTGGCCCAGCATGACACAAACTGGTCCTCATTTTGTTACAAGGTGAAGTGTTCAAATTCACATGCGCCCAGATCAGGAAGCAGAAGAGTTGGAGTGCATTGTCAGAGCTGGTGTTTGTGATTTGGTTTTTGTGACTTTTCAGAGTCACCATCTTGGCCTGGTTCAGCAGGAACTTGGACAGTACAGGGTAGAGAAGATGTACACAGTCTTGGAGAAGTCCAAGTCCAGGCCAAAGAGGGTGCTGAGGGCAACAGAGTGACAGCAGCCAGGGCCTCATGCAGCAGCTGCTACTGGAGGTCACCAATTCTTTTGGCAATGGGTAGCTTGTACAGGGTACATCAGGCCAATTGGGCTTGGTCTGGTGTTGCTGCCACTAGGTGTTGCCTCCAAGTCGTACCAGAGCAGGCAGAGAGGACACAGGAATAATGCACTTTGATTGTACAGTGCCTTCCCAGAAGGAATTGCAAAGCAGATCCCACCACTGTTATCGTTGGCATGGGAAGGGGTAGTACAGCGCCAGCAGCTGGGGTCATGGCCAATGGGAAGACCAGGCCCATCAAGTACTGCCATAGCATGTGGAACAATGGCTCAATGGTGACGGCATAAAACATTTTGGAAAGAGGGCAGCCTTGCTGGGTGCCCCTGTGTGCTGGGAGCAGGGCATATAGCTCTCCATTCACCTTCAGGAAGCTAAAGATATCCTGGTACAGGATCTGGATGGTTGAGGGAGAATGCAGGCCCCAAACCAAAGGCTTTTGAAGTCCAGAATAAGAAATTGTGGTTGACCGATTGAAGGATTTTTCTTGATCCAGGGAGACCAGGCCAATGTTCAGACTATTGAGTTTCATAGCTGCCAGCATGTCGTTGTAGCAGACACGGATTTTCCTGGGTGGTTCTTTCAGGTACACTGTAGCTCTGTTCTGAGCCAACAATGGATGCCATGACCACACCGAGCTGGTTAGTCACAGCTTTGGTTAGGATTTTGTAATTGGTACAGAGGCGTACAGTACTGGTTGCCAGTTCTTCATGTTACCAAGATCTCCTTTCTTGGGAAGCAGCATGATTGCTGCTCACTAGCAGCTGACCAGTATGATCCCTTCACTGATGCTCTCCTAGAAGACGTGCAGGACGTCCAGGCTGAGGAGGAGCCAAAAGGTCTTGCAGAATTTGGATAATCCGTCAAGACCTGATGCCTTCCCCGTGGTGAGGCCTTCAACAGCAGTGCTTCAGTGAAAGGGCCATGTCCTGTTAGGGCACTCTTTTGTTTTTAACAGAATGAATCATATGTTTGACTGACCTGTTAAGTCAGAAAAATGTTGAAAGAGGTAACATTAGGCTGGCCATATCTTGCACCTTGAGTGGTGGTTGGTCCTACATTTGCATGTGTGATTTTTCTCATTCAGGGAGATTTGATTTAGTAAGTGCATGACTTCTGTCTCCAGCATCAATAATGGATTGCACCAATACTGCATCCAAACTACTAACTTAGTACAGGTCATGGTGATCTCAAAGGATGCCTGGAAAGTCTTACTGCTTGCCTTTTTCATTGTTCCATGTCATTTACCATCAAAGTAGGATAATACTCAATTGGATGGACAGAGAGAACACCATTTAACTCTATAATTCACGTAAGAGATGTTGCTGCTTTCGCTTACTGTTCAGGAACTTTACACTGTCTTGTATTATTGAACTCAAGAATCTTCTTGAGGTGGAGGGTTTTTTGTTTGTTTGTCTGTTGTTTTGTGAAAAATTATGCTAGAAATAGCAGCTGAATTTCTACTCAGCTGAATTCATCCTCAGCCAGCCAATGAGCAGTTTGATAAATCCTGGTTCTCCCTCTTTTTCTACTGTCCACTTCAGCCCCAGGCCAGACACACAGCACCTTCATTCTCTCTCTCAGAGCAGTGCTGCAGTTTTCTTCTTCCACTGGCATTAATCTGAAGCTGACAGCACTCTCCAGAAGGGATTCTCCATCTCCTCAGCCCTCTGTGTCATTGCTTCCTTCCTGGTTGGGAATTGGCAGCGATTTTTTGAGTGAAGTGCACCCTGGGGTCAGGAACAGTATCAAAAACAGGAAGCCCAGGCAGGACTGATAGCAAACAGGGGTCCTGTTGCATCTTCCTTCCTCAGGAGCCCTTTTCCCCAAGTAACATACCATGTCCTTCCCTGCAAAATCCTTGGAAACTTCTAATTTGCACAAATTATCCAAGTTCCAAAAGTCATCACCAGCTTTAACATATTTTGCCTTTTTTTCTGAACATTCTTAAATATGGCTCAGTTAGTTTATCTTAAAGCCAAGTACACACATAGTCCAACACAGTAAGATGCGCAGATATCCCTCAGAGTCAATGCAGTTGTCACAGTGTAACTGCACCAGGGCAGTCAATAGAGGTAATTAGCATAAATGTCTTTCATGAGGTGTTGCTTGTTATAAAACTGCTGTATTGCTTTTGGAGAGCGGGACAAAAGTCCTGATTCCTGTGACTTTATTCACATAACCAGGGCCTCTTAACATTTAAGCTCAGTAAGTTAATGGCTCTGTGTGTGGTCACTACTGGAATAGTTGGCCTTGATTCCTCACACATTTATTTATTTATTTATTTATTTTGATCTCAGGTATCCTGGAATTTTTCCACCATCAGCTGAAGGACATTGTTGAATATGCAGAACTGAAGACGGTGTGTTTCCAGAATTTGCGGGAGGTGGGAAATGCTGTGCTTTTCTGTCTGCTCATTGAACAGAGCCTGGTAGGTACCTAAATGCTGTTGGAAAACATTGTGCATCCCAAAAGGTTTGATAGCACTTGTCACAGACTAAAACCACTGACTTAGAGTCTGAATTTTCCCTGCAGGGAACTGAAGATTCCCTGTAGTAAAGAGACTCATTCTGGGGGGAGAGATCTTTTGGCTGCAGAAACAAGATTGGTGTAACAGAGCTCTAACGCTCAAGGAAAGGAGGCTGTGAACAGTAGTCAGGCCTTGAGGAAGAGCGTATCAGTTGCACTGCTCTGACAGTGCCCCTAAAAGGGAGACCTGGCTGTGCATCCCGTCTTCATAATGGGTAATTACTTAGTGCTCCAGCAAATGCACTTTAAGAAGTGGGGTTGGGAAGCAAGAGGGAGACAAGGGATAATACATCTGTTCTGGACTGAAAAGAGGAACTGATCTTCGGATCAGGCATGAGGAGCACCCTCTCTCCATCTGCCTACTATGACCCCATCACTTACCAAGAAACAGGACTCTCAATTGTAGTGTTCTTCATTTTCTCTTAAACTCTTGAGTTTTTACATCCAATTTCGATAAATTTCAGTAGAATACGTGACAACCCTCGGTTAAACCATTACATCTCATGTTTTGCTACTGCAGAGGACATGTAGTAGCACTGTTTCTCTTTAGAGCAGTTGTTCTGGTCTCGTATTGTCGTCAAATCTGAGTGCGTCTCAGGAATGTAAAAACAGCAAGAACGTTATGTAGGAGCAGTATATTGTGATCGTAGCGTAGAAATTGGGCACATAGTGTGGTTCCCACATCTGTAAGATGCCCCTCTACCCTGCCTTCTGCCTGACCTCAGACTAACACAGCTTTTGGTCTCTGTGTTACTTCCTGATGGACCATCCTTATATTTTGAAACACATGAAGTTCAGATCTTGCCAGATTAGCAAGACTAAGGTGAGAGCAGGTATGGAATATGTCTTTTAAATAGGGAGTTGGAATAACTAATCATACATAGATCATGAAGAAAACGAGGTGCTTTTTCTAATCAGAAACACAAACTGTAGTGTGTTTAGACTTTAGATGGTTCTATATTTAACTAAGAACAGAATGAATTAGCATAACAGACTTCAGCAGTTCACCCCTAGATACTCATTGAGGACACACTGGAACACAAGGTCATCATTAAGCAAAATGATGAAGTGTTTGTCAAGGCTGTGACGGAAAGTAGACGTGCTTCTTTTTTTGCTGTTGGAGGGCTTCAGGAGTGTTAATTAAAAAGGTACCTTATATTGTGACGTACGGTCTGGGGAATAAAAAGAACTTGGCTCTGTTCTCAGGAGATTGGGGCCAAAGCTCTACATGGACTATGTGACCAAGCCAGTTTTCATCTTGTTTGTTTTCTTTGACTGTAACGTAAGGACCTACAGATGTTGTGAAGCTAAATGAACTTCTGTTTTGTAACATTTATGTGGAAGATGCTATATAAAGGGAAAATATGGACTGCACAAGTAAGGACACCTGCAGTTAAGGTCGCATGGCATTTTAAATTATAGGACCTTCTTTTCGTTCATAACTCTTCCAAGTTTAAACTCTTTTGACCAAAATCTTCCATGCCAGGTCTCTGCCTGAAGCTGAATTTTTCTCTAAGACTTCGGCTAAATTGGTTTAACTGTTTCTGAGAAGATGATTAGGGCAAATAAAATCCAGTAATAGTAACATCAAGAAGCAATAAGGCCTCTGTGTTTTAGAGCAGAGACTTGAAATTTGGTAAGCATGTCCTGGTGCAAGCTGTGTTCCTTTTTTTTTTTTTTTTTGGTCCCCATAAAAATGTCCCATCCCATGTTCTGGAAAATTAAGTCTCTGAAAAATCTTTGTTCCTGTGGTCCCAGTAGAGACAGACCTCTTGGTATTTGGCAGCTAAATTCTTTAAAATTGCATCTCTGCGGAGCGTGGTCCAGCCCTTTGCAGTGCCGGTGTTCCAGTTGGATTGTGCATGCTTGATCCCTACAAAGAGTCTAACTCTGCCATGTGTGGGCTCTCTCCTGCACTTCAAATTTTTTTTTTTTGTGGCTGGTCCTCAGGTAACATGTAAAAGGAGGAACAGCTTGAGTGGGGGCCTTAGCAAGAGCCAGATAGGGCAGAGAGGAAGGAATGAACCTGCAAGGGAGAAGCCTAGGTAGCCAGAACAAAGGGAGGATGCAAGTGAGCAGAGGGAATCAGAAAATGAGGAAGAACTGGGAGAGAACAAGAATATTTCCTAGGTTTTGAATCCTTGAATTTGCAACCTCAGTGTTTTTCTTGTATAAGCTTTTTAATGTGTTGACAGGTGCATAGCACATAAAATGCAAAATCTGTGAACAGGGCAAACAGGAGAAATGGTGATCTGTTGCTACGCGCCTTTATCGTGTTGCAGCATGGGAAGTTTAGATTAGACACGAGGAAAAACTTTCTCACGAGGAGGGTAGTAAAGTACTGGAACAGGTTCCACAGAGAGCTTGTGAAACCTTGATTCTTACATCGGTTCCATATGGGATCAGCACCAATATAAGGAGAATTGACTGCATTGGCACTCGGCTTTTTTTGGCTGATGTGACTGATAATGCCACTGATAAATGCACGCAGGCAGCCAGGAGTACAGCCTGGCAGTGAGGAGAGCAGCCAGGTCCAGGTGGTAAGTCTCTTGTGAGGGAAGGGGCATGGGGGCGAGCAGATTGAGGCCCCAGTGGTGAGGGAAGCAGTGGGGCAGGGGCTGGGGCAAGGGCAGGTGCTGTACAGTCAGGGCAGGGCGTGGGACGGAGCTGCAAGCAGCTTGTCCAGGGAGCGGCTCTGGCCCAACCAGGGGCACATGCCCAACCGGGGGTGTGGGAAGAGCCCAGCGCAGCCCCGGCCCCAGCCTGCAGTGACAGTCCACCTTTGTCCCATGCACACATCTGGGGGCACATACCCCCCCATGCCCTCCTGGGCTGCATGCAGCAGCTTCTCCGCATGCCCCCTGGACGAACCACCTGCAGCTCCACCCTCCGCTCTGCCCCTGCCCCAGTCCCACTCCCTCACTGTGCGGGCCTCAATCTGCCCCCACCACAACTCTTCCCTCTCCCCTTGCCCCTTCTCCCACAACAGGCTTACCAGCTGGATGTTGCTCTCCAAGCTGCCCTGCTGCATATCAGAATCAGATCAGTATTAGCCAATATGGCTCATTAAAAATCGGCTATCACTGTCGGCCTAAAAATTCTCTATCAGTGCACCCCTAATTCTTAAAGGTTTTTAGACCTGAGTAGACAAAGCCTTGGCTGGGATGATACAGTTGAGGATGGTCCTGCTGTGAGCATGGGGTTGGACTAGATACCTCCTGAGGTCCCTTCCAACCCTAACATTGTATGATTCTGTCATTACCTTTCTGGCAGCTTTATCTTGTTTTGGGCTCTGTGGCTGTTTGATTTTAAACATCTTTCAGAAGTATTTTAGGTTTCCAGCTCTCAGGTCAGTAGCCTGTTCTTTTTCTGTAATTCTGCAGTACATTAGTAGACCTGAACTGTACACGATCCATTTGACAGATGCAGCTGGCATCGCGTGTAGGCTACTGTTGCAGCCACAAAAGGTGGAAATACCTGTCAGCTGTTTTCCATGACTCCTCATGAGGGTTTCTCATCTGTTTTCTCATGGCTCTTCTCCTGTTCTCAACTGCTGCTACACTATCTCATTTAATGAATTACTTTTCCCACTGCTTTTCTGTGGGGCCCCTTACTTGTCATCCTTGGCCCTGCCCTCTCCATCTCTCACTTGAAATCTTTTTAGTGAACTTACAAGCACAGCTCTGGCTACCTTCCTCATGGGAGAGTCACAAATCTGCTGCTGCCCTGTCATGCGTCTAACTCAGTACCTCTGCCTGCCTGCCTGTTTGGATTTCCATTTGTTGTCCTAAGCACAGCTGAGATAAATCTGGCACTAGATAGTTTCCTCCAGTTGTCCACTTTCCTTCCTTTCTCAATCACAGTGGACACCACCATTGTTCTTGGAGGAACCCAGCTTGTAACCTGGGGGGTGGCCACTCTGCCCTCTCCCTAGACTTGCCTTCAGGCTGCGTCCAAAACTTGCTGCTTCCTAAAGGACATCTTAGAGTTTTGGCCTTTCCTCTTTACTCCTTCTTCTAAAATGTTGTCTTTGCTGGGCTTGATTATTGCAGCCATGAAGAGCGTCACTGGTTCTGTTCTGGCCACACCACACCTCTCTTGACTGATAAAGTAACTGCCAGCTTCTTCCTGCAGCAAGTGCCCTGCACCGCTTAGTCCCCTCCTATCTGGCCAGCTGAACTCTCTGTTCCTCTGCATTCCCAGCTTTTCCTCCAGCAAGCAATTTTCCCCTTGGGGATCTTTATGCTTCCTGCATTGTTGTCATGCCTTCTGCAGGGTGTTTAACTGGTGGCCTGTGGGCTGCATCCAGGCTCCTGCCTGGTTGCTGCTCCCTCCATCACTCCTGCAGCTGCAGCAGCTGGGATCTCTAGACTTGCTCTTCCTCCTCTGGCTTCTGCTCCTTGCCTCTGCTCTGAGGGACAGAGCAGAGCCGGGGCAGCAGGAGGGCACTGCACACACAGCAGGGAGACATGTAGGCTGCCTCCCTGATGAGAGGGGCTAGTTTGCTCACACTGCATGCATGGCCAAGGGGGGAGGCTGCACTTCCTATGCAGCTGCGCAGGGCATCCATGGAGTGTGCAGCCTCCGAGGTTTGCAGCCTGCAGGGTATGTGTACCACCCCCACTGTCTAGAAGCTGGAGAGCCCGGCCTCCTGCCACAATGCCTGCAAAACTGCTTGCTGCTGATGGCCTGGGGCATGTGTTCTGACTGTTCTCCATCACTGTCCACCCTTTCTTTGCTCCCTTACCATCTTACCCCACCTGTTGTTGTACTTCTGCTCCCACCAAAAAACAAACGCACATATCCCTTCACTGGTAACAGCGGTGGGCCAGTTCTTCCTTCCATGCGCTTGCTTATTGGTTGTCAGCAGTAAGCCCTTGATTTGAGGATGATTTCTGCAATGGCTCATTGATGATCTGTACCTCAGCTTGTTATTGGTTGTGTGCCATAGGCAGGAGAGATGTTGGCAGGAGCCCGTGTGTGTGTGTGTGTTGCACTTGGGAAGCAGCAGCAACGTTTCTCTGCCCCCTGTCATCCCTTGGCCTTGCATATTGGAAACTAAGTCCTCCGGGATTGTCTCTTCCCTGTGTAGTGTGACCTGTCCCAATTGGGCTTCTCGGTGGTGCTGTCGTATGACGGTGCACCACTTCCACTCCCACTGCCATTACCACCATGACCGTATTAGCTTGACAGAGTTGAAAATTCATAAGAGTTAAACATTTATAGTCATTGTGGGTATGCTAAATAGTTTCCTGGGAAAAACTGTAGGGTTTCTTGTGTTTGATAGATAAGTCAGCTAATGGCTTTCTCTTTCTTCTCTAGAAACTGTAAAACCTTTAATGCTTACTGGATGTAAAAAATGTTCCTCTTTTTCTTTCTTTCTTTTTTTCCTCCTTGAGGGGTCTCAAATGATAATAGCCCTTACCTCAGTTTTGGCCCCTCCATTTGCTGGAAATATACAAGGATTTCTGGAAACAGATCCGGATTCCTGGCCTTTTTAAACAAAATTTGAAATGACTCTAGGCCAAAAGCCTGCCATTACTCTCCTGCGTCTCAGCCTTTTCCTTTCAGGGAGATGGCCCTGATGTGAGACTGGGTTATGGGAACGGCACTGGTAAAAATAAAAGCATGACTCACTGCTTTGTTCACATTTTTGTATGTCTACACAGGATCTGTCTGTCACTTTAACACTGAAATTAGTCATTCTCCATTGGTCTTTTCAATAAATATCCTCTGTCCTTTAACAGCTGCCAGCTCTGGGTGGGAGTAGAGTTGCTGTAGCTTGTTTGAATCCAAGGTAACCTGCAAACGCCAAATGGTCATTAAGCGATTGTATGAAGAGACCAGAGCAGTACACACGTGTTCTGGCTACCAACGGAGGCTTGGTGCCCTCTGCTGTTTCAATAATAAATACTGGAAATGCCAGCATGGATTCAAAGCAGATTTTGGCATTCTGGGTATTCCATGTTATATTTTCTTTGGTCTTTATACACTCTGCTCTTTCTTGGCCTAGTCCCTGGAGGAAGTGTGCGACCTGCTGCATGCTGCACCATTTCAGAACATACTGCCAAGGATTCATGTCAAAGGTACGGGTGTGGTGACCTGTTTTCTGTCAGCATTTATTTCTCCCTGTGTTGTGCTTTAGCTGGTGAAGGAATTGTTCAGAAACTTCCTTCATGGTAATACTGTGTCTGCATAACAATGACAGCAAACTCCAATGTTTGCAGGCTTGAAAAACATGCAGAACAATGAATAGAGGCAGGTAGGCCTACTAATCATTTGTAGGTGCCCACTGCAAATGTCAGGAGTGCACAAATGCAAAGGCAACACAATGAGATATCCAGTGCTGCTTCATTCCCAGTAGCAGACATAAGTGGAGGTTGCTTGTCTCCCATTGGGTTCCACCTTTCACAGCAGCCCTGATTTTGTAAGGTTACCAAATCCATTTGGGGCTGGGACACTTAGAGAACAATATTCCTGATCTGACTTTGGCCCCCAGTGATCCCCACAACTTTTTGCATGCTTAAAACTAGACGGGGATCATGGTGGTGAGCGCTTGCTGGATTGTTTCCTCTATTTCACCACCACTTCCTTCTATAATTGCTTATTTTTTTGGTTGTCCTTTTTCCTTGTCCTTTTGCTGCTGCCAGCAGCACTGATTTGTCTGGGCCTCTGCCCATAGGGTTCCCGTCAGTTACAAGGTGAAATGTACATCTTTTCAGGTGCACTGCAGCTGCTTGGTTCCCTGTAAGCAGCCATAAAACTAACCAGATTGCTGCAAATGTTCCGCACCCACTCGCCAGAGAACATTTCCTACTCCCCAGCGGTGAGTGGGCGAATGCTGCTTTTTTTAAGCCTAGCTATACATACAATTCCACCTTCATTATAACTCCAGCCTCTGAAGGTAAGTGGTCTATCTATGATAAGCATGCTTTTAATTGGCTAACTACATGTGGAAACCAGTGTTGGAGATGGCATACTAGAGTCTTATTTTGAAGGTGGAATCTAGTTACTGTACTAACTAAATGCATCTTGCCACTGGCTTTTGGCCATGCAGTTACCTTAAATTTGAAGGTACAGAATAGCATTGTTAATACAGTACACCTGTGTATCAAATAACAGCTTACTGAAGAAAAAGCAAGCTATTCTGAATTAGATCCCCTCTGAAAGGAACAGTTGTACAAAGATTTCCCTTCTGTGACAAAAGCAAACTCTAATAAGGATAACTGATTTCTGCACCACAATTTTTGTTGTTTTATAGTAGTATGAAGTCGCTTCCCTGTTAGAAGAAGTAAAGTTTTGTTTGGTTTTGTTTTTGTTGCCTTTTAGAGGGTGAAAGACTTGATGCTAAAATGAAGAGACTAGAATCAAAATATGCTCCACTCCATCTTGTTCCTCTGATTGAAAGATTAGGAACACCACAGGTAATGATCCCAGAACCTAAGAACCATAAGATCCTCACAAAAGTCATAGCTATGTTAGGGCCCTCTAATAAATAAAGATGGCCTATGGCTTCCTTGTCCAGTTATCTTATTGTTGAAATGAGGCGGGAAAGGTGATACTTCAAGTTTTGGGGGAGGACTGTGGTGTTGACATCTGCCTGTGCTGCCGTGTGGCGGGCCAGTAGGGGGTGCTCCTGCGTTGAGCCACACACCTCACTGTGCCCGACCACCTTCCAGGCTCCAAGTGCCTCCCTGGGGGTGCCTCACATCTGTCCGACCTCCTTCCTGGAGCACACTCACAAGCCTGGGGTAAAAACTGCCACCACCCAGGGCTGGGCTTGATTCTGGCTCTGTGCACCCTGGGAAACACAGGCCTAGTAGCCCTTGAGGGTACTTGACTCACTTCAAGCACTTGGGGGTGCTTCTCTCAGTCAGAAGCACAAGTAGTGGTCTCCCTTAGCCAAACCAAGGGGACCCCAAGGCATAATCTAGACCCACTCCCAATAAGTCTCCCACGCTAGGTACAAAGGAGCACTTTATTGATTACAAGGAGTAGGGTTGGAATAGGGTACAGGGTAGAGCAATATCAGAGAAATCCCACAGAGCAAACTGGCATGGCTGGGTAGCCTTTGATCACACATCTGAGCTACTGCAAGCTATATATCTAGTTAGATCTCAGGTAGCTTACTCACAAGTATCATCCAGAGGCAGGTGGACATTCCCTCTGGAGGCAGGCAGTTCCTTGATCATGAGTTTTGAGAGAGAAAGAGCAAGTTTCAAATTGTTCAGCTCTTCTCTCTCTGAGTCTTCCTCATGGCTGTTGCCCCCTCCTCCTGGACAATCCTTAACTTATATAGCCCTTATGACCTCATTTACCTGGTCCAATGAAGGCCAGCACCTGTTTACTGTCAGCCAACCAATTTGACATGCATCACTAGTTGCTGGGCAGACTGGCAGTTCCTAGCTCCCCAGGGAGCCCAAGCCCCTCACCCAGGTATGTGATGCCAGTCACGTAGGCAGAGGGAGCAGGTTTCCCCCTCCCTCAGGAATGTATGCAGCTCAGGTTACTTAAAGAGATAGGGTAAGGTGTGTACCCTCTGCAGGGCCCATCTTAACCAAATTGTCATGGAGCAGAATTTTTGGGGAGAAACAGAAGTGGCCTTCTGACACAGCTTCCATGTCCAATTATCTTATTGTTGAACTGAGGTGGGAAAGGGGAGGCTTCAAGTTTTGGGGGAGGACTGAGGGACAACAGAGAAGGGCTTGATGGGGAGCCAGCAGCAGCCAGTGATCTGTCCCTGAAGGCTGTGAGATATCAGAGCTCTTGATGGTTAGGATCAGCAGCCAGACTTATGCTA